TCGATTTAATGGTTTTTGGCACCTTGCAAGGAAAGTGAACACTTACCAGCCGCTAACAAACTGCTTGCACATTTTGGTGTGAACAATGCATTGAAGTTCATTTCCACTTTAAAATTAGAAGGTGCAGTCACTCCAATGAGCCTTTCTGGCGTAAGCTCGTGCAGGAGGGTAAGGGGGAGGGCTGCAGTGCAGTATTGATACTGTAGAAAAATGTGGGTGGAGAATATGGCCCAAAAGGACGAGAAGGTAGAAGGACAAAGTGTGGTTTTTGGCCATCCCCTCAAACCAGTGGCGGGCGCCCCTCCCCCCCCCCCCCCCGAGAATGGGTCGCGAAATTTTTGAAACTTACCTATATGGTTATAGAAATGTGCAAACGACTTGTTTATTTTTGAAAATAATTAAAATAATTTTTAAAAATTCAATTTAGCCTTATAAAAAAAATTTTCGGGGCCTTTTTCCAGATTTTAGGGGTTGGGGAGCAGCAAAAATTATGAGAAGTACTCCTATAATTTTTTCGGAGTGCGTGGCTAACGCCACGCACCTTCATTTGAAAAAAAAATTTTCCGCGCCCCCCCCCGGTCCGAAATCCTGGGACCGCCACTGCCTCAAACGATGACCCCGGCTGGACCAGGAAAGCCAGGTAGTACTACTATGATAAGCGCTGGGGCCGCCCATCTTATTATTTGTGTATATCTGATTGTCAGGGACTTACGGGGGTCAAAAATAGGGTCGAAGGGGAAGTCGTAAGAAATTTTGGCTTCAAGGGGATATCGTTTTCAAAATTCTGAAATGCCACCTCCTGCCGGGCCCTGATCGTGAATCCTGACCCGTATCCCGTGACCCATTTGGCAGATACAAAGACTGAAAAGACGTCCATGAAAAAAAAATACTCCAAGTTTCAGGTTAGGCTTGCAATTGAAACCCACCTTGGTTTCTCAGTCTTGATTTGTGATGTGGGGTATCACGACTTATATTAAGGGGCTATTGGTGTCTACTTATTTTTGTGGATCCACTTGCAATCTGGCCAGAAAATTGAGTCCGCCCGCCTTACCACTTTTTCAAACTCAGGGATGTGTTCGACAAGTTAATATGCATTCCATGGATTTTAGCCCAAAGAGTTAATCAAAAGTCTATTACTTTATGAAAACCGCGACAAAAAAATTGGTTGTGTAGATGTCAATTTTCCAAGACTTAAAGGCAGTGTCCGGGCAAAAACTCGATTTTGAGATTTTGTGCTTATACGCGCCTATTCGCCATGCTGAATCCGAAAATCCACATTGGAGACCGCGGAAACGGCGAAAAAGGGCTCTAATATAAAAGGGAAATCAGCAGGTGGGCGGGGCTTTCCCCAGTGCGAATTCACGCTCCCAGCTCCCGGAGCGATTTTCTCGCTTCCGGTTTCAAGTCAATCATTCGCACTTGACCGGTAGCCATGTTAGGACGGCTAGCGGAATCGAGAAAATCGCTCCGGGAGCTGGGAGCGTGAAATCGCACTGGGGAAAGCCCCGCCCACCTGCTGATTTCCCTCCTGTGTTAGAGCGGTTTTTCGCCATTTCGCGCTCTACATTGTGCATTTTCAGATTCAGCGTAGCGACTAGGCCCAAGTAAGCACAAAATCTCAAAATCGAGTTTTTGCCCGGACACTGCCTTTAACCTGAGCATTTGAAAAGATTTTTGCAAAGAGTTGCAGCTCACGATGATAGCGACTGCAAGCCATAAAAAATTCAGAAACCGACTCAAATTTGCATTTGTTCTTCTGCGAAAAGTTTCACATGCAAAATTATCCATCACTAGTGAAACCATTGGAATAAGTATTGCTTACGTTTCATCCGTGATAGTCATCGCGCAGTGAGCTTCAATACCATCATCGTACAGAATGAGTGAGGGAATTAGATAGTAGAACCAGCGCGATCTTCTGCGAAGCAGAGGTGACACACTGGTACACTGTACTTGGGAAAATTTTAAATTTTCTCCGAATATTCGAATTTCGAATAATATTCGAAAAACGAAATTCATAGATATTCGAGTATTAAGTATTATTCGAAAAATCGAGTTTCATGAATATTCAACTATCGCTTATTAATCGAAGATTCTCGAATATTCGAATTTCCGAATCATTCGTATTCGAATGATCTATTCAAATGGTCGAATTCATTCGATTTGGTCCAAAGTATAGTATGCACCTCCTAACGCCGCTTCTCTTTCGTCTTCCTCTCCACAAAATTATTACGCCTTGATTTAACAATGTCATGGTTCGCTCACTTAGGGCTGCAGGGGGAAAGTCAGGAGTCACGGTCAGCGCGAATTTTTCGCGAAGCGATGCCGCAAGCGATGTCAGCAAAACAGAAGCTAGCACTCCTGGCGCAGTCTTACTTATGGCACGAGCCATGTATCTGCCCCCCCCCCGCACCCCTCTAGACTGGCGTCGTGCCACTTTAGCTCCGGGCAGTTTTATGGGGTACAAGATTTAGACGCGACGTGCGCGGCGAAGCGGCGCGGCGCGCGGCGTGACTCCTGACATGGAGCCGGGCTGCATGCATTAACATCCCCGCTGGGAAGGGAATCGCTTAAATGGAAGCTTTTTATTTTGAAGCTGCGGAGCCAGCGCTATGCTCACGCGCCGCTCCTTGTAGAATATTCCGCCTAGTCCGGGGTGAAACCGACTGCACCGCCGCAGTTGAAGTTAAAGGCAGTGTGGCAAGTATCGGCAAAATCCAACAACTCAGGATTTTAACGCGTTACGTTCCTTATCGTCCAAGTATGAAAACAGTGTAATCCCGGTTGCACAGCATGCTTTCCCTGCCGAGAAAATCGCTTTCAAACTTACACGCGCAGGCCAATCTTACACGCAACTGGACGAGTTGGCAATTTGCTTCTTACCATTGGAGGCTGCCCGTCGCAAAGCTATAACCACTAGGTCCTTGAACGATTTAGCGTCATCGGCTTTGCTTCACCCGTCCAATTCCAAAGGGAAGGGCATTAAAAAACGCTTTTCGACGTTTTCAAGCTTTAAAAAGTGGATTTTCGGGATCGGCGTTTTGAATAACCCAGGTAAGCGCAAATTTGACTAGATTGAGATTTGCCGAGCCACTGCCTTTAAAGGCAGTAGGTCGGCAGAATGAGACCCGTGGCAAAACAAGATCACAGGGTAGGAGCCCCCATAATGGGACCTATGAGCCAAAATTCGATCTTTCTCTGCCACTTCTAACCCCCGAAATTTCAACTCAGACATTCGCAGTTGTCACCCGCAAGTTAAAATGGTGTGATCTCATTGACCAACTGCGCGTCACACAAAATCGGTGTCGGGGCAAAATCGGGACACCTGTGTTTGCATCGAGGCAAGAGTGCGGGGCATTCTCCGGTCATTATCGGGTGACCTGCGGGAGACATCGTAATGCCCCGATCCTTATTTCAAGCTGTGGTTCACCTTCGTAAGTGTATATATGTATCTTATATATAAAGCTGAATGTCTGTTTGTATGTATGTATGTATGTATGTATGTATGTCTGTCTGTCTGTCTGTACGTATGTTCCGAATAGAAAATTCCATTTCTGAACCGATCCGGACCAAACTTGGCACACATACGCTACGGGCCCCGGCGCGTGTCATAGGCTACTTTTCGTCATCGATCGATATCGATTTTATCGATTTTTATCGATTTTTTTGCTGAGTTCACCTACGGGGCTGGGAGTTGGCACAGGGGGGTAATCGAGCATGGGGATTCCGAATACAATATTGGTTTTCGGGATTATCGATTACTTTTATCGATTTTATCGATTTTTGCAAAGTTTGAGCTAGGGGGCTGGGAGTTGGCACAGGGGGGTAATCGAGCATGCTGATCATCCCCAAGGGGGGTGATCAGCATGCTCGATTACACCCCTGTGCCAAATTCCAGCCCCCTAGCTCAAATTTTCAAAAAATCGATAAAATCGATAAAAGTAATAGACGATCTTGAAAACTAATATTGTATTCGTAATCTGCATGCTCGATTACCCCCCTGTGCAAACTCCCAGCCCCGCAGGTCAAACTTTACAAAAAAATCGATAAAATCGATAAAAGTAATGGACGATCCTGAAAACTAATATTGTGTTCGTAATCAGCATGCTCGATTACCCCCCTGTGCAAAATCCCAGCCTCGCATGTCAAAATTTACAAAAAATCGACAAAATCAGTAAAAGTAATCGATAATTCTGAAAACTAATATTGTATTCGGAATCCCCATGCTCACTTCCCCCCCCCCCCCTGTGCCAACTCCTAGCCCTGTAGGTGAACTCTGCAAAAAAATCGATAAAAATCGGTAAAATCGACATCGATCGATAACGAAAAGTGGACTGTGACACCCGCCGGGGCCCGAAGTGTATGTGTGCCAAGTTTGGTCCGGATACGGCGGAGCCGGGTAAGCCAGCTAGTATATTATATAATACATATTATATGTATTATATATGTAGCGGAAGTATACACATAGTGGAACACAAGTATATAGTATATACTCTATACTTGTGTGTCCCACTTTTACCGTGCTGTCTTCTTTCACTGTTACTCACAAATCATGCTTTAGTATTTATTCGAAACTTCATGGTAGGGAAAAATCTACAGCAGCGCAAAATTAAATAAACTACATCAAAAAAACGCTTCACAAAAACACTGGAACTGCACTAATATGTATCGTTCGCATCCGTTTCCTCGACTGCAATGTTGGCGGATTCCGTTTTTTCGATAACGTTCAAGTCAGTGCTCAATGTCATATGCGCTTCTTCTGAGAAACATCAGCATCAACAGCGTAGACTTCTAAAGACGAAAGTTTTACCTTTGACGCCAGGAGAGTTGCTCGGTCAGCATCAAGATAGTAAGCAGGCACATCCGTGTTGAATAGGTCCCAAGACAATACTCGAGCCACCCAGAAAGATAGTGTTCAGATCTTGAATCTTGTGCAGCGATTATTTCTAAATCAAAACTAGTATCAAAAGTACATAGCGACTATTTTATCTTGATGATGAGAGTCACACTGAGCACTTGCGGAATCCTACATGTAGCCTCTTACCAGTATCAGTCAGCCAAGCATCCCAGACTCGATTGGGATTGGGATTGAATTCAGATTGCAAGAATACCTCCATGATTGCAAACATGAGTTTGTCTCCAGATTCTGCGTGTTTCTACAATTGAAAGAGTGTTGGATAGCCGGTAGAAAACTGATGTCAGTGTTGCGAATACCACTTCTGAGAAAACTGGACACTCACCAAAACGAATTTGACAATACTACCGACACTAGTGGAGAATGTGCTCGCAGCCAAATCTGCTGCAAGAGAGGGTAGACTGTATAGCGAAAAAATCTAAAAGCAGATAATTAAGCCACTCAATATTCTCACTAAATTACATGTACCTTTTCAACACCATTCTTCTCTACAAACCCTTCCAGATCTGAGATCTGCGACAGCAGCTTGTGTTACGATATCTTCGAAAATTTGATGGCAGATAAATATGCGTAGCACAGTCTATGTACAATTGCTTTGAATCACCTTGGTCAAAATGAGAATGTAGTCTACCAAGGGTAGTAACTTTGTTCCATCCTTAGTATCGGAAGACAATCCATTGCACGTCTATATAAAATGTGTAATCATGATCTTCGCAAAATGAATTTGATAGTTCAAAAAAAGCCCACCATCTTGTCAGCTACGCACTTCTTCCTCCACTGATTTCATCCAGCTCATTTCAGCCTCTTCATCGTCGTCAGACATTTCCTCACTTCCTTTCAGACGGCGACATTGGAAGCTGAATGTGAGAAGCTTTACTGATGGTTCCTCTTCATTATCTACGGCTTCAACGAAATCACTGTCACCATCACACGAGTACGCCCATCGTAAATGTTCTTCATCGGCCGTGTGGGCCCTGCAATGACAATATTCCGAGTATCTGCTACTTTTGACTAATATTATATCAAAATGGTGGAGATACATCACGTTTCGAGCAAAAAGAGTAGACAAGAGATTGACCGTCGATCAAAAAACCAAAAGGAAAACGATAAATGGAGCTGACGTATTCCGAAATCCGCGAATCGGAGCAAAATCGCGGTAAAATCCGGGTAAAACTGATGTCATGTCTCCCGCCGGTGCACCGGGTTTTAGTGTGATCAGCCATTTTATGGGCGGCCCACCTGCGGGTGACAACTGCGAAGGGTCAGAGCGCCAGCCGCAATGCTATAAGCATGAGGTCCCGCAGCGACTCTGCGTCTTCGCCATGACGGGCTTCGCGTTCACTCGTCCATGGGGTGGGCGGGTTCGGAGAGGACAGGAGATGAGCGCTGCTTTCGCTTTGAAATTTCGGGGGTTAGAAGTGGCAGAGAAAGGTCGAACTGTGGCCCGTAGGTTCCATTATGGGGCTCCTACTCTGTGACCTTGTTTTGCCACGGGTCTCATTCTGTCGACCCACTGCCTTTAAGGTCCCGGAACGACTCTGCATCTCAGCCTGGGGAGCCGTCCTATTTCAAATTGTATGGCTTTGAACGGTTTTCGAGCTCTAATGTGGATTTTGGATGCAGCGTTAGGGATAACTTCAGCTAAGTGGATTTTTTAGAAATCGAGTTCTCGGACACTGCATTCAAAGGGATTGTATAAATTCTACTAGCTCCATGTGGAAGTGGACACCCTTGAACATGTAAGAGCAGCGCTCCTTGTACTGGAATGTTATCGCGCGCTCTTTGCTTGGGATATTATCCGATGTTATTGTTTGTTTGTTATGAGAACAGTGATTCCTATATTCTCGGGGATGATGTGCTATGATAACGCTAAGGTATATAACCAGTCACATCGAGCACGCGAAGAGCTCCAACGACACTCACTCTCTCTCCTGGGGCGGTTGCCCCGAAGTCAACCACACACTCATCCTCTCAAGTCCACGATCCACTCCTCCCACGTTTCCTATAGTTTCCTATTCGACAGATAATAAACCTTCTATCACAACACTGTAGTCTTGTTAGTAACCAGCCGCTTCCGCTGGGCGACGCTTACTAACATGTCATAGCACAATGAAGTGGTATCGTGAGTTGGACTAGAAGCGAGATATTCACTTGAGAAGTTGGGCGATCAAATCCCCACCCCCTCCTCCTGCGGGAAAAACTCGCCCACCTGTAAATTTCAAACTGCAGACCATATGTGCATGCGCGGGAACGACTCAATCAAACAGCGCTTCTGCGGACCTGGGTTCTCACACGGTATCCAACGGGCAAGTCCGCGGAAGCGGTGCCTAATGGAGATTCTGTTCCTTTGTCCCTTTCTCATGCCGCTGAGACAAGACCATAGGGTTCTACAGCGAACTCTGCATCCCACTCTTGACGAGAACTGCTTCACTCGTCCAAATTCATATCTGAGGGTTTTTTGGATATTTGGACTCAGCATAGCAGATGAACCCACGTAAGCGAAAAAGCTAAAAATTAAGTTCTTGCTCGAAAGCTGCCTTTATAAAAATCGGGTATCATATGCCGCTTTATCAATCAGTCAGCTTTAAAGGCATAAATTTATCAATAAATGCTCGTTACTGATGCTCGAATTATCGTAGCACTTCAAATCATTTCAGTTGCCGTTCTTATTCCAATGCCATTTGTACACAAAGGCGATCGAAGGGGAGGACGAAAGAAGAGAGTAAATAGTCAGAAAGAGCCTAGCAGGGCTATCAAAAGCCGAAAACTAGAAGACTTGTGCTTATTCTGAAGAAGCTCTTGGAACAATTATCGTTGAAATGTGGTCCTCAACAATGCAGAAAAAACATTCTGCATACATCAAACTTGCAGGATACACAGCTTTTATGTAACGAATGAATACCAACAACGAATGACACTAGGAAAAAGAAATATATGATAAATTAACAACAATCACAGAATTGATTATAGATGCTGTACCTGTGTAGAGTGCACATACAACATTGAAGTGAATAGTACTTGAATGGGACGGTCAATGAATGGAGGAAAGTCTCTTCATGAAAATGTAAAAGGATAAAGGCACAGTTGAACCGAAATATGTTGGTTTTCGATTATAATTAGGTTATAGGAACACATCTGAACAATTCAAGGCAATGAAAACACAATGATCGTATTTTGATAAATGATATAGCGGCACCTGTATCCCCGCGGTACCATAGGCAAGTTCCCTTTGGATATAGCAATTGGTCAAGGTGACTCCATTTCACCGCAAATTATGCTTATGGAAAGGACAGAGGTATATGAAAATAACGAGAAGTGAGTTTAGGAAGGAAGAAAAGTAGCTTTGAACTAAGTGAGAAGCCAATGCAAATTAGTACAATTAGAAGATGTGAATAGTACTGTCTAAGTACCTACTTGACAGGGAATCTACTCGAAATACCTATGAAAAATAGCTGCAAATCTATTTGAAACAAAATTAACGAAAAACAACTACTTTCGTACTTACTTCTCCTATATGGCAGTTTTCATAGAATCTAAGCTGCTCTTAGACGAGACGAGATCAAATTTCGGTGCGTTTTGCATCGAAGACAGGATCTTCCTCGTCATCTGAATCTGAACCCAAGATATGCACTTCGTCGGTTTGGCTGTTGTAGTGTGGCAGCGGAGTGTAACTGAAAGCATAAATTCGCTTACAAGGTTCTAAATCATTCAATATGGAGACCCACTCAATCTGATTGCGATCATCTTTCAGAATGCAGTATCCCACACTTCCGAACAGACAAACTATGACCACAACTACTATCATCGAGGCAAAAGACCACACCAAACTAGAGCTTCGATGGCGTGCAGGATATTTAGCATTAGGTGAGCAATCCTCTGTAAATATGAGATGTTTTCTCCAATCCGGAAAATTTCCACAAAGTTTAGAATGAAGAATTCTTCTCACCACATCGATAATCTTGCGATGGTTGTTCTCCATTAGCACAACACTTTCGACAATAACCGGTAGAACGATTTCCGTAACCTTTTGCACATGTATCACAACCCAAGGAACCTAGAAAAAGAGAACTATATTCTGATACCGTCAAAGGACTTCGGTGATGCTTTTCTCTACCTGGACCATGGCATGTTGAGCAAGCCGGATCGCATTGATCACATTTTCCAATCGAGTTCAAATAGTAGCCTTCACCGCATCGTTCACCACGAAGAACGCAACGAGCTTGCACCAAGTTGGTCTCATCTGAGCCATCAGAGACTAATCCCAAGAAAAAGTGGAAATGGGAAGCTTACAATCTGGAACTTGTCCCTCAGAACATGAATCCACACATTTACCAAACTGAGGAGAATGCTTGACGTAGACAAGAAGCTGAGCACCTGGACATGTCTCGCAGATCTTAAATACTGTTAATGTGAGAAGAATTTCCGGCAGGTTGATACTTATAGCTTGATTATATGGAGTTTGCATGATATCCGAACAACTTCTCCGCATTGCTTTTTAAGCCATTTAGCCAACAAATTTTGGTTTCCAGATCACAAAACTTTCAGAATACAAAATAGGATTTTTCAAGCAGTAGAAACCGCAAAAGGAAACAAATGAACTGGCAGGTTTGACTTGATATTTTTTTTACATATTCTTTAGAAAGTGAATTTTCCAAAAGCGCGACATCTTCTCAAGAACACTCGTTCTATGGCAATTACTGAGTAGCTGTGTAACAATATGTAAAACTGTGTAACAATATGTAAAACGGCCGCTGGAAATACGGCCGAAAATTTCTGATGACGAAGGATTCGATGAAATTCACTTCGAATTTCATCGAAGTGACATTTTTAGATGTAACAATGACTCCGAATTTGTCTCCTCTATCTGCAAGGCGCCTCTGCAAGAGATGTTCTTGAAAAAATTGAGACGCTTTCAAAGACGGTTAAAATAGAACAGAGATATCTTCGAATAGAGCTGCTATATATGACACTTCACGCTAGTGTAATAAATATTTTCAGTTCAATATAAGTATGACCGTCACTTCTCCATTTGAGCACTGAAGAGCACGTAAGAATCACTATCATTCTGATCACATTTGACTTCACAGTTAAAAAGAACACCATAACCCGGTACTCAGGGACGCTATGCAGATATCGAGGACAGAATCGCATTTCTTGTCCTCCAAAATAGTTAGAAATCCCACCTGAAAGGCTACTCTGATTGACTGGCCTTCCCTTGGAAGAAAAAAAATAATACTTAGCGTCAACTTCAGGTAAAAAAAAAGGAAAATTGTTTTGATTTAGTGTAGAAGAACATTACCAGGTATTTAGACTCGCATTTTCAGGTTTAAAAAAAACGAAAGTGTCTTGATTCAAATCGCCGTATTCTGAGACTTACGAGCAAAACATATTTTCCGTAATCCTTACCTGCACTTTCGATACCCTACTTATTGCCTACCTACTTCAAATGATACGAAAGAAATCTCGCCAGCAGCACCTCAAAAGTGTTTTGTAAACTTTAACTATTCGAACTCAGACCACCGTGGACAGTCACCAAAACCCCAAGTTCTTGCCCGTTCCGCAACAGAAGTAGCGCATAGAGTCGTTCTCATACCGGTAGTAATTCGCACAAATATTTTTTGAGACTGCTACGCCCTTTTTTCCTACTGCATAGCTCATTTGTTGAATTTCCGACGTTTTATGCTGTCATTCATGATATATATTTTACCGCCACCGGCCAGCTCGGTTGCAGAATAGCCAACCGTTCGAATGACGACAACCAACAATGTGAGGTGATGCTCTCAAAGTGAAAATTTTTCTTTGACCATATTCTAACCTCAGCTTGTGTGCAGGAATGGCAATGTGGAGAGCACATCTTGCAATTCGTCCCATCCAAGTAATACGTATCATCGCAATGAGTGACACACCTAGAACTAGTAGAATCCACTCTGTTCGTAATTTCTTTACACAGATTACGCACTTGAACCCATTTCCAGCTTTGTTACGTAGCGTTTGTGTGAAATGTTTGCAGCGAAAACAGGCAACAGCTGATCTGCTCTCGGAGCATCCGCCGTCACATTCCGGATGACAATCACCGACGGAGTTCAGATCACCAAACGATATAGGCGCGATCTCATCGGTCTGAAGTGTAGGATATGATAGACAGTAGAAGGCTCCATGCATAGACTGTTTGTACTCTTTGTAACTTTATGTTCAAAAAGCTTCACCGAATCAAAACTAAAATCTCTTGGACGACCATTAAAACTAAAGTTTCCCCGGGTATACGTTATTTCATTGTGGACGTCAGAGCTCCAGTGGCGCGGATACTCGCGTCGCCTCGTCCCGGCCTTGCGCCGCGTTCGCGGACGTGTCCTCTGGTCATTTCCCCATGCCTGAGCGGTGATTAAAGCCTGGCGAGCGTGGAGAAATGCTGGAGGACACATTCATTAGCGAACGCGGCGCAAGGCTGGAACGAGGCGGACGCGAGGGCCGGAATCGCTGGAGCTCTGACACTCACACTAAGATAGCCTGTAAACTCAAGCATAAACCAAATGCTCAGAAACGGGAGGAGGGGGAATCCCATCGAACCATAGTCATCGAGCTTCTTCTAAACTCATTTCAGCAAAACCAGATATACTTGCGGCTAAGTCTTGTTTCGTTGCTCACTTCACCACCAACGTTTCAGGTACTAAAATTTTTGCTATCGCCGTTTCGGGTAAGCTTTTCGTCTTATCTTTCAACACAGTTCTTTGTTTTTGAAGTTTTCGATAACCGTAAGCTCATCCCGTCAGCTTATGTCTAGTATTTTCACAACTCTAAGTCCTACAAAGTTTATACAATTTGTATTATATAGTGCTTACAGATTAAAGTGAAGGCATGCCTTTGGACAAAGACTACATTGAAATATAGGCTTGAAAGTGAAGTGATAAATGCTGGCAACTGAACCCGAAAGCAACGAAACGGGTACAGGAAAAGCCACGTCCACCACCACAAACGCACCGACGACTTCTCCAGATAAGCCACTTTTTGAGGGCCTGGGACGAGACCACAACACAAAACAAAGGAACAATTTATTCACAGCTCTATAAAAATCCTCTCTTAAGGCACGTTTGCAATAAAGATCAATCAATATAGTACAAACATACACATACATCACAACGACTAACATGCGATTCCGCAAACTGCTTATTTTTGGAGAAAAAAAGAAAAGGAGATTTCCATTAAATTTCCATAAAAATGCTGTAGATGAATGAGCAATATGCTTCTCAATATCATAAATGCTTTGCTGAAAGGCAATATGCAACGGAACCTATAAATACAATACTTCCTGAATTTGAACGATAAAGATATGGAGTCATATGGTGAAAGAGTTGAACTTGAAAGGAACCATTACGACTCTATGAAAACCTGATAAGCAATAATGAAGGGCAACTAATAAATCCTTTAGGCACCTCCGAACATTCTAGCAAAAATACCATTGAAATAACTCTTCAAGCGTTCGTAGTTCGTTGGCGGAGACTAAATATGACAACTAACCACTCCTGGCTGAGAGCTTCTGAGGAGTGTTACGGAAGAGGAAAGTAGGGGGACTACATGCGAGGTTGCGCCAGGTAAGGTAAAGAGGAAAAGAGATGATAATGTATAGAGAAAGAATGCATAGTAAGGAATGACCAGAGATACACGCAAAGCAATACCCATGTAATAAACCACGCACGCGCCTCGTCTTGCTTCATCCCATCGCGAAGATGTGAGTCAGCGGATACATGCACCGTTTGTAGCAGCTGCGGGGCTCTCTTGTTCGGATGAGGTCGGGAATGGAGCCGAGGCAGACTCGACGAAGATCGGAGGCGAGCTCGCGCGACGACAGGCGATCGCGGCGGAGACAGCGATCACTAGCAGCACGACTGCTTGCACGACCATCAACATTACCGGGAACGTCATCTGCAGTGAGAACGCATACCTTCGCACAACGCGCACGGACAGCGGAACATGTACGGTCGTGGGCGTCGAGTGAGTGACAGTGAAGCCTACCACCGAACCCCATGCAAGTTGCAGCTCAGCTAGTATCGTCGGACGCGCCTATGTTCCCGGTGGCGCGGATTCACCCATACCCACTGGTTCGCCCTCGTGCTGAACACCCACTGGCCCGCGTTAACGAGGGGACGAGTGTGCGCTCGAGAGGCAGATGGCCGCAAAAATGGCGATCGGTGTGAGGCGATGGCACCAGGAATCGGAAACTGGCGAGTACGGGAGAATGCCGTCGGACGCTTCGGAAATTTCTGCAAGACACCACAATACGGCTCATGACCACCACCAACATATCGTTCATTTGCACGCTCTACTCTCTTCTGTGAGTGAAAAAGCACACTTGCAACAGCACTCGACGGGACACCATATGTTCCGCTGCAGTAGAAACAAAAAAGCAAGCTGGATGAGTGTTTGATTATGTAGAATGAACATGTGGCCTGGGAATCGACATGCTCTACATGCAGTGAGGAAAGCATGATGACAAGGAAGCACATTGAAAGCTGTGATGTGGATGTTACGATTAGTAAGTGAGGTGAAGTGGTAAAGCAAAAATCAACAAAAAAAGCATTACGATGTGTTAAGCTTATTACGTTCTGCTCGTTACAGATATTTCAAAAAAAAAAAGAATCTGACAGAAATGGTCTGACGAGCAGAAAGTCGAAAGTTTTCACCCTGCTCTACAATAATAATAAGACGCAGTAAGATGGTAAACATTCAGAACTCAACGTAATGTTATGGAAAAGCAGCATTCACTTCAAAACCATGTTTTCTATAACTTCATAAGCACTCCAAATCAAAATCTAAAATGATATTGAATCCGACAAGTGGGAAATTGTACGCAACTTTGGGCAAAAACTAAGTTCTGGATGCTACATCTTCCCGCTAATTTCACAAGACAGTTTAAACTCCAACCTGACTCGTAATTTGATGTATCCGTCCTAGCACTGATTGTGATGGAACCGGTGTTGGAGGGTGAATTCGATCTCCCGGTTGTGCAGGATCGGCCGTGCCATACAGTAACAACGTCCAGTCATGGAAGGTTCCTGCCATTGAATTTTGAGGTTCAAGTGATAAATAAGCAGAAAAACCATCAAATTACCTGTGGCTGACGGATTGTTTGTCACACTTTCTACCATGAGAATCCATGTTCCACGAGGATCCTCTCCCCATTGTTGTACGGAAAGGAATGGCCATTTGTGGAAACCGTTGGTGTTGAAATCCTGTAAGCAACAGATCTTGCACAGAAAAATCACAAAGAGGGTTTCAAATAACAAACTTGTGGTCTGGGTGGCAGCAAAACTGATCTTGTATTCGACGGAGAAAACAATGTCAGTTTCAGATCGCCGCGCTTTGAGTACCGCACTGAAAATATTAGCCTCAAAAAAGCGCTTACAGATCGAATTTAACTCTACCTGTAGCATGAACTTGGACATGTTCCAGATACAGAACAGGCGTTCCTGATTCACAACCATTAACATCGAGAGTAAAGTTCATTTGAAAGCGACCATTGATGGGTCGTGGACTGCAATTACCGTGAATTCATGCGCAGGCTATTGAATATCGATGAACTCACTTTGGAGCTGCCAATTTGTATTCATATGTGCAAATGTGCTGTTCCGGAACGGTCTTCCAGGTTCTGGCCAATTTTACAAGTGCACCTCCGTCCATCAAACCATATCCGAACCTATAAAAGATTTTTTCGCCAGTTCACAGAAAGTGCTGAAAAACTCACTTGTTACTTATCATTCTTCCGACACCATTTTGGGACCAACCCGGATTTCCAAGCAAAGGAGTAGGATTAGCTGTACGCAAAACGATGTGTTGCATATCTCTCCAGGTGAGATCAGGGCTAAATCCGAAGTACTGAATATTGTACGACTACAGCAAATGATAAACGAACTTTGCTTCCAGTGCAAGAGCAATTATTCCAGCAGCCAGAGGTGCAGATGCACTTGTGCCAGTGTGCATTTTTGTACATCCAGCAGGAACATCAACGGTTACCTACAATGGGACGACAGATAGATATAGGAAGTTTGATGCGCACAAACTAGCACTTACAATAGCAGGCTGGTTTATGTTAGCAGAGCTGTACGTGGTAGCAATTGATGATGGGCACTCTTCCAGGTACCAAGGTCGGTGATTATCGTACGTAGCGGATGAGATGGACAAGGTGTAAACTGATGTCGTATATCCGTCAGCAGAGCAGGAATCTTGTCTAAAAATGTTCAGTGTTGAGCTAACTTATAAACTTGTATTTATGAATGATAGTACAACGTAGAAAAATATATTTTAAGGGGCAGTATGAGCTTCTGTAGTCTCTTTCCTTTTCACTTCTATAAAATTTTCGCAAAACAATATGACAACACCAACAAAACTTTAACTCGCAACGTTATTTTTTGCACTGGCCAGACTTTTCTCTAAAGCTCTCGAAAGCGCCCAAACTTCTCTACCCTCTCTTCGCCGTCTCTCATCTCTCCTCAAACAGAAAGTGAAAAGAGATTGGAGAAATTTGGGCGCTTTTGAGCGAAGTCTGGCCGGGGCCATTTAGATCTCAGAGCAACTGAGCCGAACAGCAAGTGTAATGCACCCTCAAAAGCAAACGATTCGCACTACTATGATGTGCTGTACTAGTACCCATAGTAAATCATCGACATAAGACTGCCATAAGTAGTAATGTGAAACTCTATACAAAGTTTGAACAGATGTAAATCTCACCTTGAGCCACCATTTCCACTGGCCCACACAAAGATGTTTCCTTTTCCACGTCGACCATTTTTGATTCCTCGGTAGAAAGCTTCTCTGGCCAGTGGTCCTGGACCATCAAATGTTTTGCCATCGTCTTCAGGTCCCCAACTCGCCGAATAGATATCAATGTGTTGCTAAAACGAGCAAAACTTCCTGCTGAAGAGACAACAAAACAGGATTTGTGCGACCACAAAAACAATTGCTAACCTGGTTGAGTGATAGCGAAGCAGCCTCGACACTATCAGACACAGCTCCATCAAGCATGCGAACCTAAAGTGACAAACGATAAGAAGTAATGAATGACTGCATTTATTTTTCTGGCTCTTGACTGAGAGAGAATCACAATAATTATTACAGATCAATGCTTAGAAAATCCGAAGCGATATGCCTCTCCAAAAGTACATTTGTATTATAAATATTGAAAATAGGAACAATTTTTCGGTAAGAGAGTTACAGAAAAAGAATTAAACACTTACTCCTCCAATTTTTGCTTTGAAAGCTACTCCAACACCACAGTGTTGGTTACCAGCTATTGCTGCCACTTCGCCGGCACATCGAGTTCCATGCCTGCAATAGTTCGCATTTGAAAAGACAGTACATAGAAAGACAGAAAAAAAGACAAAAGTAATGGTAGAAATTAAGAAGGCTTACTTATTATCACCATTATTCTGAGGTGTGGGGTCATCATCATGATCGTTTATGTCGGTGCTGGCAAGTGGATCGTAATTTGTAATGAGATCAGGATGGTCCCTAGAACATAGTAGGTGCTTACTTGTTTTTTTTTTTCAAAAACGACACCAACCTTTGAATTCCATCATCAAGAATCGATACCGATACATTACGGCCAGCGTACCCCATAAGCCACGCTTCTCGAACGTTCATATCATAGTTTCCTACCGCCCTTCCTACCTAAAGATCAATTTTTGAATAAGAAATTGAGAATGTCAGAAACAGTCGCAATTTTCTCTTGTACAACAAGTACTTACCAAATACCATTGGTCTTGGTAGAGCGGGTCAGGAAACGGTAAACGAGGAATCTCACGCGGTGGTTCCAATCTACTTTGCCGTCGTTGTACATGCGATGAGCCTTCGGTAGCTCGCCTTTGCAGTGTAGAGCTACGACTAGATGAAATTCGGCTCTCTCCCTAAATTTTGCATGCGGAATATAAAAAGTAGCACAAAAAGTTGCTTTGCATATGCACTAACCTCAACAACATGGTCATCTTCATAAACGTAGTCTCTTTTCGTCCGCCGCCGAGGTCGTTGCTCAGCTAACCACTCGACAGCAGGGTGAGCATCTAACCGCTGCACAGCGGCTCGTTTTCTTCGACGAGAATGTGACTCATCTTTGTGGTATAAGAAGTAGTGGCTCTCAAGGAACGGCTCACCCTAAATTAGAATAGCTATTATGAATCACATTGGTTTAGTTCTAAAAATGCATAACGTCATAATAATTCATCAAACTCATCCAATACATTAATTTCATGATTACTGCGTAAGAATCGCAATGCGTCTACGAGCTTACTTTAGGCTTAAATATTTAATAATTCCATCTGTTGAACGCATGTCTCACTGATTAAGCCTAAATAAACTCATACACCCTCCCCATAGTATGCAACGGCACGATCTCCCGTGCTTTCCAACATAAGAAGAAAACTATCCCAAAAACACACATACTTTTTGATTCGGTTTCCGCGCACTTCTGGACTCTATAACCGATCTATTTATCAGAAAAGTCATTGAATTACAGCTGCTCGTAGTGCACGACGCATTTGCGACAGAGACTAGCAAAAGGTTGTTTGCTTCTTTATGCAACAACGGTAACACTCCTTGATGCTGTCTGTAGGAGGTACTTCCAATTCTAATTCCAGATTCTTCTGGCCAAACTACGTTCACAAAAAACTTGCGCCCTGTGCAGTCTTCCTCTGTTCCGCTAGTAATGCCGTTCATGTTTTTGCTGATAACAGGAACCAAACTGAGAGAAAATTTCTGCGGACTTTTTCTGCCGCGAAAAAATGGACGCAGACAAAGGTCGCAATCGAAGCAATCAAATTTCGCGAACATCTTTGGCGTAACGTTTCTGTACAGCAACTATGGACTGTCATACTTCTATGGACGACACTTCTCTAATGCGGTACGCTTCGGTCATAACTACAATTCTACAGGTGGAATTTACAGTTCAGGACCACTGCGGTATCGATAACACTGCGCAACAAATGCACATGGAGCGCAAAACACAATGTGCGCTCTATGGCTATTTTGCACGCGCAAGTGCTGTCGGCACCGCAGAAGCACCATATGAACCGCCGCATTCTAGTCATTCTTTCGAAAAACGAAAAACAATACACTATACCAACGAAAGGGGAAAAAGCTGCTATTATGAGATACAGAGAAAACAACTCCGCGGGTAGGAGTAAAAGCGATTCCTACAATGGCGATGGATTTTGACAGAGCTAAAAGGTTTTCATATCACACTGAGCGAACTACGCGCTTTCGCCGAAATGATAAACAACATGCCTGTATTCGAAAGTACAACTATTGTCCATTGTACGTCATTGTAGGCTGCACTTGCAAACTGAGTTTCAGGTGTCACTATTGCACGAACCCCGTACGACCTACCCCACAGGTGAATTTTCCTGCTTCCACAAACTGTCAAGAATCTATTACATCATGAAAATCTCGGTTCCGTCACAGGCAAGCGAGTCGCGGAGAGAAAATTTGACGGAGCGAAAAAAACGCGTTCGCAGTTTCACTTTCGCAGCGCGTATGACGGTGTGCGCGGAAAGCGAGGTCAAACGACGAGCGAAGGACTGGGACTGGGTGAGTAAAAACTAGAAAGATTGATCTTACCCGCACTAGCATTCCATGCTCGGCGGCTAGCTTCCGTGCCAATTCGTCGTCCCTTTTTGCTAACCGAATCACTGTGTGTGTCGGTTCCGGACAACTATCTTCATCGTCACATATCTGAATTTCAAGGACATAACTTCCAAAAGAAAACCGGAATTATAAATCACTCACCGAATCATGTTCTACAGAATATATACAGGATATAGAAAATAATACGAGTAGACCCGTTCTCATATCTTCTGACTAGATGAGTAGCAAGACAAGAATACAGTCTCTATTAGAAATATTTGAGTGAACAGCGTTTGCTTTTGATAACTACGCTGATTAACACATCGTAGGGATCGAGTGGTTAGACGAGCGAGTAAATAGACGACCTGAAATCGAGAAAAAATAGCCTATTACACAGACATGTACAACACTTTATCAACGCTGCAAGAGATTTATAGCGGAACATTTGCGATTTCTACACGATGGATTGAGAAAAACTGCCGAAACTTACGAGGTGAACGAATGGAATGAGAATACAACGCCATCGAGACTGTTTACAAATCATAGAGGAGTTCAGAGGGCGATAACCGGGATAGCGCGCGAACTTGCCGAGGATGTCACAAGTCCGTAAATGCCCGTCAAATGCGTACTTCAAATCGCGGATTTTTTGAATGAAAAACTTTCTGATGAGAGGCTGTAACTTTTCGACATCTCTTCTTTATTTATCCACTTATTTATATCAACAATTTACTTCACAGAAGGCTGGGAGTGCTTTTCGCACGCATGAAAATCTGTGTGAGTCTTGGAGAAATTGCTGTGTTGATTGTCTTTAGTAAGTATAGTTGATTCGTTGAGCGAACGGACTGAACATCAGTGCAGAGCACGCGTCGCGAGGTAAAACGCTTGCCCCAATACATATTCGCCATCGTACAAGTCGTGCTCTCACGACAATTCAGCCACGCCACGCATGGTCCGCAGCGTTTGAGCAGTCCGGAGGGCAACAAATCGACTATAAAGTGTAGATTTTAGGTAGAATTGCTTAGAGCCTTTCTTACAAGACTAGAAACATGCTCCCTTGCAATTTTATGCGTGCATTTATCTTCCGCACCGTTAGTGAACCGCGCCGCTCTGCCACGCGATTTCTTCTAATTCGCCTAGAGATGGAATGGAATGAATTGTAAACATCGCTCCATTTTGCACATCGAGTTTTTTGTTACCATTGCAGACAAGAGGATCAAAATCGTGGACCCTGCAGTAAATCGTCAGTTTAACCCATCCCGGTAACGCGTCGGTACAGGAGCGTTACGTTATTCTACATCTACCGCTTGGTTACGGTAGATGTAGGATTCTATAAGAATCAAAGGAATGTTTAATTACTTTGCATAGGACCGATAAGACGAATACCCACCTCTAAAATCGAAGATTTCTACACTCATCGACCTACTGTAGTCTCAGAACAGAAAGATGGAAAGAGTAAGGACATAGTTGAGCACATGCTGGAACCAGCGCGTGCCAAAGCACGCCATGCGCAGCGATTCTTGCGTATGCTGAACAATGTTTGTTCGAGCAAACTCCTCTATGTTTTATTTCCCTTTCTTTAGTTCGATGCATTATTGCAGTGATTTTTTGATAACAAGGCAATAATCCGCTTGATTGACTTTGGTTAATCACAAATTCAATGTTCGTTTACCGATGGCTGAAAGAAATTTCCTTCTATGCTTGTTTTACCGGATTTTCTCTGTGTTTATCAAGTTCCACAATCTAAAAACTTGCCGGGTGTAAAAAGACTGTGCAATTTAACAAAACCAGTCAGATGAAACATGCAATGTTAAGTCGGCGAACAAAGCCTTACAAAAGAGAAACAAAACGAAAGAAAGTAGCAGGAAACTCTTGTCCGATTATGTTTTTGCTGTAGAGCGCAAAGATGCGCTCATTGTGCTATTACACAATCAAGGGGCAAAGCTTGCTTCTACAGTCAGTGTCAATCAAGTGCTCCCTTTTCCGTAAGCGCAATCACCATGCCAGAGCTTCGTGCGCGTATGGCTTGGGCTTTAGAATTGGCCTTTTCGATCGAGGTTCCGTGCGCAAGGCCCTTGCGTTGCGCATGCATACATCCTAAGCGAAAGGGAGTACGTCGACAAATCGACAAATATGTACAGTTTCATCCCGGATTAGGTGAGACATTCTACGTGGAGCAGCGCATGCGCATCGCTGGAGGCTTTGCGAGCGCATAGCGTTGGCATTTTGCCAAGCAAAGACTAAGGAGATTGAAGAGACGCAGACATGGGCTCTCAGCACGATAGGATATACTGTAGCTGCGAAACGGCGCGAGCTATTGCGAGGCGGACTCCCGCCAATCCAATTTCCGCCTAAAGCGGGTCGAAACTTACTGTACTGTATTATGTGCTGGGGAATAAGATGCGTTTGAAGCGAGAAAAGAAACAAGAATGTGATTCTTTTGATGAGCATGCGTCTACGATTCTCAACGGCGATGATGTTTCCGTAATCGGGATCGGAAGCAGATTAAGACGCGCGCCGCATGTGGCCGCAACCGATTCGCGTTTGCGCCTTATTTTTTTCTGCAAGAGAAAAGCGAGTTTTCATGTGTTTTTCTTTTATGCGCAGTCTCAGTCAAATGTGGAAACAGCCAACGTTTAGCAAAGTATTGAAGAAAGGAGCAGACAAAGGAGTACGAACGTGGCGGCACGGATGCGTGCAGCATGGCTTCAAATTCTGCGGACTCTGGTCCGGCACGGATTACGAGTATGAACGTGCCTAGAATTTGCAGGAAGCTCACGCTAAATTCAATCCATAGTCTAGCAGATCCCGCTAATAAGGTGTGCTTGCGGCTACCGAGATTTTGCCTCAAAATTTGTGCGTGAACAAACAGATACGCCAGTATTGCCGGCATTTTGCGCGCGCAGGTGGCCGGCCTTAGTAGTGTGGGGTTTCTTCACGCGCAATTTTTAATGCAAAATCACGGCACCGCAAGCACAATATAGATGTGAAAAATCTACTAAACTGTTGATCGCAAACAAAGTGCCCTGCAGAGGCGCGGCTATTTGACGTACTCGAGAACGGTTTTAGCAGTCACACTACTTTGTTCCAGCAATTTGCTCCTGCGTTTAGCGAATCGCTACTTACGCTACTCTCAAAAAACATGAAAGTTCATTTCTTTCTCACACGGATTATAGCCGTCCTCATTCTAGCTCCACTGTGTAATTTCTGGAATTTGCACCGGCAACCAATGCACGACGTCCTTTTATTACGTTGCACGAATGCATGCAAGTTAGTTTCATAGTACTTTCTGTAATGATAGTAGTGATTCTGTCACAGCTGTCTTTACTGCAGATTTGAAAAATTGTTCAATTACAGACGGTTGGAAGAAAAAACCACTTATTTTCGAGTCTGTGACTTAATATGCAAGTCTGCACACTCTGCGCGGTAATCGACGACACCTTTATTAATAACCTCACAGTAGACCTTGTCTAGCGTAACAAACTGTGATTGTGTTCAAAGAACGATCACATATTGAATCTAATCAAAAGAGAACAGGAAACTAGGAGAACTCATTGAAATCGAGCAGATTCTGACTTTGAAGTCGTCGAGTAGCGCGCATGGTGTGCAATACACATTTTAAGTTACAAATGATTTCATGATAAGTCAGTTATAAGTAGAATTAATATAAATGAGTGACAGAAAGGGATTCAGTGAGTGTGAGAAGCTTATGACGAGCGAAGAAGCGCTTATTAGACGATAACTGAGGAAAGAAGTGATTGGATGTGTGAAAGTGAAAGCTGCTATGACGGCAGCTTTAGGGCACGAGGAAGTGGTTGGCCTTGGCCGGAGGGCGCTTCATATCTCGATGCTTCTTTTATAGGCGTAAGCATCCAGTTTTACACTAGAAGGGCGCGAAAATCTCTGGCACTTCGAGACTTATTTGGGCTTGGAACTGAGGATTTCACGCAGAAGAGTCGAACGGAAGAAGCTGACTCATCAACTAAGCGAGCTGACTCATGCACAACATAACCTCGAACTATGGTCAGTGTGGGCGGAATGTGATGGTGAATAATTGTTGGAAAACTAGTTTGAGAAGAGTTCTCTCTAATAATATGCTATTAGAGAATAGAATTGTTGACATTCTACAGAGAGGCAGCGTAGAACGCGGATTTTTACAATCTCTCATATTAATCGCGATGGATCGCTGTTGTAAAAATCGCGTCATCGATCAAAATGTCGATTTCGATGGGGAGAAAAAAAAAACAACCCTCGATGTTGTTGTACACACACTTTTTTCATCGAAAAGCAAATCCTGGCAACGATCGCAGAACATTGTTGCAAAATGTTATCGTCTCAGCTTTCGCTGCTTTTACAACCAGGCTTTGTTTTAATCCCTGCGAGAAATAGTTGTTGACATGAGCGTGAGTCAGTCAGCGAGTTTATATGATGCACCGATGTGTAACGGATTTACGACACAAAAAGGGGATTTTATAGCGAGAAGATAGTTCTTGGAAATTAAACTCCCATTTTGAGTGCGCTAAACTTGAAAGCTCCGCAAGCGGAAGAAACACGGCTATGTACCGAAAATGCCTTTTTCAGGTGTAAGAGGCAGGACATGGCCAAGAAAAGGCGTGGCTTAGGCCTTCGCAATTGGCGGAGCTACAGTTCCAAAGCGATTAATTACCTCGGAATGGGCGCAGCTCAGTGCAATAGTCAAGGCAAGCAGAATAATTACTGAGAAGTGAAAATTTTTTCAGGTTTTTTTCCTTTCCTCAAATCCGTTCGCAATTTTTAATTTTCTATCATGAAATTTTCAAATTTCCAAAACAGCCACAGCAACGAAGACGGAAAAGCGCTCATCCATGTCCATCACTCTTCTCATTACCCTTAAACTGACCTTCCTTACCCCCCCCCCCTTTTTTACGTTCATCCTCTTGTCCTTCCCAACCGATTGCCACATCATCACATCACTTGCGATTGTTGATGTGTAGCAAGGGTTCAAAAAATATTTTTTTGGAGAAATGGTGAGGCACGAAAAGTTTTGCAAGGCGGAGGGAGCCTGTGAACTGTCCTTAAAATTTTTTCTTTTGGAGTGCTTCTGATTTATAGCAAACCGACAATATAACTTTGCGAAGGGGGGGGGGGGACGCTATCGCGACTCAAATTTTTGTTTACTTACTAATTTGATTTTGATGATAAACTTATAAGTCCTTTCTTGAATAGGAAGTGCGTGACTTGCATGACTTCTCACCTCATCTAACTGCTTGAAAATCCGTTATTGGCCGGGGGGGGGGCAGAAACATGAACTGTTCAGAAATCGAACACAAAGAATATTTGCTTTTTCCATTGGAGCATTTCCCATGACTATATGACGCACTGATGAGTCTTCATTGCAGGCATTCTTTGCTAACTGTAACAACTGATTGACGTCAATATCGGAATTTTAGGCTTTTTTGTATTCTACCACAGAAGAACTTTGAGTAGACGAATGACGACCTTCTTCTATCGTCATTTGCCGAAAATCTGCAAAAAGGTGTTTGCAGGTGTTGAATGATGCGAAATATTTTCCTTCATGTCAAGTGTCACTCGAAAACTGTTTCTTGACAAACTT